GGAAATCTACTACTGATTTTTCACAAGCAACATTTTTGACAGGTGAAGCGGGCACAGCAGAATCATCTGTGTACGGAACTTTATTTTCGGCATGCGTATAGTGAGATACTGATATCAGATATTGATATATGTAGTTAGTTAGAAAAGGGGCCTTATAGTAAATTGTCATGAGAGTTTGTTATAGAGAGAGAATATCAGGAATGACGATATATGCTCTGTAACCTGCCTTGATTTCATTTTGTCGAATGAATATTCTCTTGTCTCTTACTGCCCATAACAAAAAGGTATCAGAGCTTCCGTTTCCGGCCAATGGCGCCTCCGGAGACGCGATCCTCCGATCGTCTCGCTGAAGTAGAACACCGTCTAGATAAGCAACAATCGGTCCTGGACCAACAGTCGCAGGACATTTCCGATCTCAAGGTCCTGCTTCAGGACATTTCTTCCAAGATTTCTGCGATGAACCAGAACGGGTCTAAGCAACCGGTAGCTGGAGAAAGTTCCCCCCGCATTCCTGCTTTCGGCTCTTTCCACGAACTCCACAGTAACAACTCATCCGCTTCCTCTTACTCTATCGCCACTAAACAGAGCCGAGTCGATTTTCCAAAGTTCGACGGCACTGATTTCCGCGGATGGGCATATCGGGTTCGCCAGTTTTTTGCTGTAGATGGGACACCGCCAGATCATCGAATCCGTCTTCTAAGTATTCATCTCGAGGGCCACGCACTGCGCTGGCATCAAACCTTCATGCGCCATCGTTCTTTCGCTGATATATCCTGGGCTGAGTACTTTAAAAATATGGAAATCAAATTTGCTGATGTGAGGGAGGAGAACCCGACTATTGCTCTGAAGAAGCTACAGCAATCTACTAATTCAGTCGCTGATTATGAAAAAAAATTTGATGAGCTTTTATCTGAAGTGGATATCCCTGAAGAGGTTGCTATCAATCTTTTCATAGGAGGCCTACGGACAGACATCCAAAAATTCGTCCTCAATGCAGCGCCACCTTCTTTAGCTGGCGCAATGTCCTCTGCTCGGATGCATGAAGCAACAATACAGGCGCTCCATGATCACTCACCGGCAGCAACTCGTCGTCCTGGATTCGGGTATTCGATGGGCCCCAAGTCCATTTCGTATATGGACTACTCTGCACAGGACAGGCCCAAAACGCAGACACAGGCATTATCAGCTAGACCACTGGATTCTCCCACTACGTCGTCTTCCCGGATATCATCAGCTGCCAAACCCACGCGTCAACTATCAAAAAAAGAAATGGATGATCGACGCACGAAAGGACTGTGTTATTGGTGCCCGGAAAGGTATACAAGCAGCCATAAGTGTAAAGATTCTCACCTGTTTACACTAATGGTTGATGAAGATGACGATTGCTTTGAAGATGCGATGGGAGACGCTCAAATCGACGCTGTGGGAACGATTAATGCCATCGAAGGGGATGATAAAGCTTCTACGGTGAAACTTCTGGGTCAGATTAAAAACCAGAGGGTTATCATTCTAATCGACACGGGCAGCACTCACAATGTACTGGATTCCTCCATTGTCAAACGTCTCCAGTTGAAAGCCCAGGAACGTAGTGCTGTTCGTCTCACCGTAGCAGATACCCGAAAGGTAACGGTCTTTAAGCATTGTCCGAATCTCTCGTGGGAAATGGGCAATTCTACTTTCTCAGCTGATTTTTTGGTAATGAAAATAGGGGGTTATGATATGATTTTGGGTACCCAATGGTTGAGAACTATCGGCCGATTTTCTATGGATGTGGAGTTGAAAATTTTTGAGTTTCATTATCAAGGGACCCGGGTAGAATTGCGTGGGGTGGGTTACCACCTACCATCCCCTGCAAAGGAACTTACATCTACGCATGATATAATAGCCGCTGTACATGTCTTTCTGCTTCAAGCTTCCTCTCAATTACAACTCGGGTTGCCTACTACTTCTTCATTAGATGAACCCCAGCGACACGAATTGACTCAGCTCTTAAACAAATTCACTGATGTTTTTGTGGAACCTACCGAATTACCTCCTTCACGTGTATTTGATCATTCCATTCCCCTTCAACATGATCGACCTATTAATTGTCGGCCATACCGTTATGGTCCAGCTCAGAAGACTGAGATTGAGCGACAGGTGAAAGAGATGCTTGGTCATGGGATCATACAGGAGAGTTCCAGCTCCTTTGCTGCCCCAGTAGTTCTAGTCCAGAAGAAAGAGGGTACCTGGAGATTTTGTATTGACTACAGAAAATTAAATGAAGCTACAATCAAAAACAAATTCCCCATACCGGTCATTGAAGAGCTATTGGATGAATTGGCAGGGGCCATGTTCTTCTCCAAACTGGATTTAAGGTCCGGTTACCATCAAATTCGAATGAAGCAAGATGATATTCCTAAAACGGCTTTCAGAACCCATGAGGGTCTCTATGAGTTTGTAGTCATGCCTTTTGGGCTAACCAATGCCCCTGCTACATTCCAGGGCCTTATGAATTCTGTGTTCAAAGCTTTCTTGAGGAAATTTGTCTTAGTTTTTTTTGATGACATATTAGTATACAGCAAAGATTGGGGTTCACATTTACAGCATTTGGAAACTGCCTTAGTGACTTTGAGGCAACATCAATTATTTGCTAAAGCCTCTAAATGTATTTTTGCTGCCACCCAACTTAACTATCTGGGTCATATTATTTCAGCCAAAGGGGTTCAAGCAGATCCAACGAAGCTCGATGCAATCTCTTCTTGGCCTGTTCCGAGCTCTATCAAAGAATTGAGGGGATTTTTGGGCCTTACTGGATACTACCGGCGCTTTATTCGAAATTATGGGGCCATTAGTAAACCTTTAACAGAGTTATTACGCAAGGATGCTCCCTTCATTTGGTCCACTACTGCAAATGATGCTTTTGTTCAATTAAAGCAGCTTCTGATTTCACCACCGGTTTTGACACTTCCAAATTTTCATGACACTTTCGTTGTGGAAACAGATGCCTCTGGTACTGGTTTAGGGGCTGTCCTATCTCAGAATGGACATCCTATAGCTTTTGCTAGCAAGGCTTTACCTTCTAAAAAGAAGCCTCTGTCTGCATATGAAAGGGAATTGCTGGCTATCATTTTTGCTGTCAGGCAGTGGAGATCTTATTTGTGTAGTAACAAATTTATAATTAAAACGGACCATTTACCCCTGAAACATCTATTGGAGCAGCGTGAATTGAATCAGGATCAATGTAAGTGGCTCCATAAATTGTGGGGATTGAATTATGACATTGTATACAGGAAAGGGAGTGACAATACTGTGGCTGACGCCTTGTCTAGGCGCTCTGAAGGTTCTTGTTTTGCCTTGTCTGTCCCGGTTTCTCCACTGTATGAAAGGGTTCGTGACTCCTGGCTTGTTGATGACCACTTGCAGCAGCTAATTAAGGCTCTGGAAAAGGATCCTGCGTCCCACCCTAAGTTCACATGGCAGCATCAATTGCTCAAACGCAATGGTAAGCTGGTTGTTGGAGCTGACCGTACTCTTCGTACTGATTTATTGTCATTTTTCCATGCTGACAGCATTGGTGGACACTCTGGTATGAATCCTACTTTTAAAAGACTTTCTGCTTTCTTCTATTGGAAAGGTTTAGAAAAAGATGTCAGGAATTTTGTCAGGGAATGTTCTGTGTGTCAACGCTTTAAACCTGAATTAATTGCTTCCCCTGGCTTGCTCCAACCACTGCCTATTCCAGAGAATGTTTGGACTGACCTCTCTATGGATTTTATTAGTGGTCTCCCCCAATCCTATTCTAAAACCACTATTTTAGTAGTTGTTGATCGCTTATCTAAGGCAGCACATTTTATGGCCCTTAAACATCCCTTTACTGCTGTGGAAGTGGCTCAGATTTTTCTTGATAATGTGGTTAAATTACATGGATTTCCAAAAACTATTGTGACCGACAGGGACCCTGTTTTCTGTGGTAAATTTTGGAGGGAACTTTTCCGTTTGTATGGCGTTAAGCTCCATTATTCTTCTGCATACCATCCTCAAACGGATGGTCAGACTGAGGTGCTGAATAGATGCTTGGAGTCTTATCTCCGTTGTATGACTGGCGACTTTCCTAAGCAATGGGTGAAATGGTTATCCTTGGCAGAACTATGGTATAATACCACTTACCATTCCTCTATTGGTATGTCACCGTTTGAAGCTGTGTATGGGATGGCACCACCAGTTCATTTACCTTATATTGCTGGGGATTCTCCTAATGATCTCGTAGACCGCACTTGTTTATCAAGAGAACTGGTTTTGCAACTCCTGAAGCAACACTTGCTTCGAGCTCAACACCGAATGATTCAGCAAGCTAATAAAGCTCGGTCAGAACGCCACTTTGTTGAGGGTGATATGGTTTATCTCAAATTACATCCTTTTCGAAGGAACTTATTAAACAATTCCTCCCTTCATAAATTAGCTGCTCGTTACTTTGGTCCCTATAAAGTATTGAAGAAAATTGGTGCTGTTGCTTATGAACTTGAGCTGCCTCCTGGTACACGGATTCATCCAGTTTTCCATGTGTCTTTGCTCAAAAAACACATTGGACCTACAGCTGTTCTTGCTCCTACTTTACCCCCTGTGGATTCTGAGGGTCATTTCCTACTGGAGCCAGAGGAAATATTGGGCCGTAGGTTGGTTAAACGTCATAATCTTCCGGTCACTCAAGTGTTGGTTCGCTGGAAATTTTCCCAACCTGAAGATGCAACATGGGAAGACCTTTCAATAATTCAGCAGCAGTTCCCTCACTTCCAGCTTACACCACCGCCGAATACCACCATCCTTGTGGACAAGGATTCTTCTTAAAGGGGGGAGTATTGATATATGTAGTTAGTTAGAAAAGGGGCCTTATAGTAAATTGTCATGAGAGTTTGTTATAGAGAGAGAATATCAGGAATGACGATATATGCTCTGTAACCTGCCTTGATTTCATTTTGTCGAATGAATATTCTCTTGTCTCTTACTGCCCATAACAGATATGAGAAATACAATATACCATAACAGCAACACTGATATGGATATACTCATCAAAAAAACATGTGAAATAAAGCGATTAACCAGTTGGGTCTGGATGTGGTCCCTGGTCATTGTTGTTGAGTTCAGAAAAGAAAGGATCCTTGAGGAGATCTGTGGCTGAAGGTCGTGCCCTTGGTTGTGCAATGCACTTCTCAATGAACGCCTTCAACTCTGCGTTGGTGACTTTATTTAGAGCCTGAGGCTTTATTCCTGTTGTTACCTTCTTGTATATCTTGGCTACGCTGTCACATTCACTGTATGGTATCTCCATTGTCACCATCTCAAGCAAACACATTCCAAAAGAGTATATGTCCACCATCTCAGTGTAATCCTCCTCATACAGCTCTGGAGCCATATACTCTGGTGTCCCTATAATTGAATGTGCTGCGTGACTCTTCCCAACTATTGCAGCCAGCCCCAGATCACCAATTTTCACCTATAAAAAAAAATCCAAAGTTAAAAGCTAATTTCTTAGTTCAGAATTGGCAGGATAAGTAAGCATTTCGAAGCTTATTGAATCAGAAAAGATTGATATGGTTTAAAATGGAAATTACTGGTGGGGTTTAAAGATCTTGAAGAATATTGGATTTTGCTCATTATGTGGCCTATTCATAAAGGACATTTTCATATTTACTTTGCTAGTTGACCACATATAATCACAATGTAGCCATAACGTTTTCTTTCTATTCTTTGATTCACATATACAATGGACAAGTTCTAGGTTCACGCCAAAAATAGGAAAAAGAAAAGTCAAGATTCAAAGTATTGTCTTTTGTACTTACCTGGCCAACATTCCCATTTACGAAAATGTTACTACAATTGAGATCTCTGTGAATAATGCATGGGTCATGTGTATGTAGATATTCCAGTCCTTCAAGAACTTGTTTTGACCACTTCTTCAGTGCCTTGATGGATACTTGACGATGTTTCTTCCTGTAGGCCCTCAGATTCCCAGAAGTGCATATCTCAGTTATGAAATTTAAAGTGTTCCGCTCTTCATCTTTCCATACACTATAACAGACAATGATATATTTGTTCTTCAATGTTCTAAGCAGCTCAACCTCAGAGTGAAGACGATTTAAAAGCACAGGGTCCTCACTAAAATTCCTCAGCCGCACCTGATTCCAGGCTACCTCTGTGCCTTCCTGTTGATCAAAGGCCCTATAGACCTTTTTCACAGCACCACTGCCAAGCAGGTCATCGTACCGCCCAAACCTACCAGTTGGGTCAACTTCAGCAAATGGTTCTATGAGATCAGAAGTGTTCAAATATGAGTCCTTAGCCGGCATTTTCAATAACTAATCCTGAGGACAGAAATATCGGTTATAGAGTTCAAAGGTCAGTGCTATCAATTCTAATCATGACCAAAATTACACGAGAAATATTTTATCTCAATCGTAGGAAGATGCTCGATTATACCATACTAAATGACAGAGATTGGCATGAGCCGTAGTGGTTTTGTTTAGAATTAATTCTGAAAGAAGAAATTCCGAATTTGACGACAGCAGCAATACTAGTCTAATTTGAGCTAATTTTAATTTACCATTTCTATAAGAACAAAATTGAAGAGTCAAGCTAATCAACTCCAAAAGCTTTCCCGAACCATTTTTTTCTTTTTATTTTTATTTAAAAGGGCAAAGTGACATAATCTAAACAATAATTGTGCTAGACTAAAGTTTGTACCATGAAATATTCAATCATATTATCTACTGTGATGGGCTGTTAAAATATTTCTACTAAATCCTTTATTCATGCATTTGTTCCCTGAAAGTCCTGCAAGCTTCCTTATTGTCATTATAGCATCCTTCAGGCTAAAGAATTTCATGTTGAGAAATACAGTGTAAACTCTAATCATGCAAACGAATCAATGGTCTACAGACGACATTTTCAAAATACACCAAAATAGAATATGTTTAATTAGATGGAAATGTCAATAACGTCTTTTTAACGCAAGTTCTGAAGAAAACGCTTGCTTCCTACTTTCCGTCATAACCCTCTCACCACCGCTCCTCTGCCCCCGTCCCCCCAAAGGAAAAAATAGCCAATAAAAAATCTTGTTTTCTTGGAATTCGAACGGTATCAATTAAAAACAAAAAAGACAGAAAGAGAGAATAAATAAAAGGCTATCACAATCTTGTCTTATCGGCAGAAAGAAAGAGAAAAACTGAGACGTGATTCATGCACGGTGAACAGACGAAGGAAATCGTCCCCTACGGTTAAGATGATGATCGAGGTTCACACAACCGAACAGAACGAAAACACAAGAAAATTGTGAAAGCAGCACGTAAAAGATCGAAAACTAACAATCTGAACTAAATCCAAAACCAGCATGAAACTTCCAATTATTTGGAAAGTTCCATATAACTACCAAACCAAGACCCAAGAATTATGATGTTCAGAACAACGGACTTGGAATCCTCACAATTTGAACGTACAAAACAATGTTAGGTTTTCCGATCAGCAACCAATCTTCACAGAATTACAATGAAACATTTGAATGAGTGAATTAAAAACTTAAAAGCTTACCAGTGAAAGGAGGATCTTAGCTGAAAAACCAGAATTCTGTGGCTGAATTGCTCAGCAAATTGAACCCTGGAAGAAGAGTCTGAGTGAATAATGAGAGTGATGAAGAAAGAAAGGGAGGATTCTCTGGTTCACGAGAGAGCAAGTCCGTGGAACAAACTTCATACCAAGTGAGCGTGCAAACGAAAATGGGCGCAATATGGAATCTATATATCATATAAATCAAAATCTATGGCAAGCCGAGCCATTTACAAATCCTGAACGGCTCTGCTCTATTTTTACTGTTCTATGAACAGTAATGGCTCTATGAACAGTGGCAGCTAGTATGCGGCTTTGTTGCCTTTTTTTGAGCGGGAAGTCCTCGGTTTTAAATTTTGAAATTCCTCTTTCATCATCCCTTCTCTCTCCATCTGGCTTTCTTCTTTTTCAAGTTTGGTTTTCTTCTCATATGCTCCTCTCTGCTTCTAAGCTTTTTCTGTCACTCTTCATCTCCCTCTGCCTCATTGCGCTCTTCGTTGCCATAGGAAACCTCATCAATCTGACTTAGACGAAGGAAACAGAGTACTCTAATATTCTCTGTATTAGTACCCAGCTTGGAAATGAGGAGATTGACATGGCTTATTACCAGAAGGTTTGTATCTGATAACTCCCTCCTTCTGGTTTTTTCCCCTCAATTTTCGTTTTGATTTATTTTCCAGGCACATTCTCCCTTCTCCTTTGTTTCTATCACTCTCATCTATAAATTTTAATTTCTTCTATTCTTAACGCTCTAGATTTTTGTTGAAATCAACAACGGGGATGGGCAACCAGGAGCATGAACACGGGCAGGTGAAGGGTATTTAGAGGGAGAAATCTAGGTGCTGGAATCCAAAATCGAGGTAGTGGTAATAAACTTTCAGTCCAAAAATACATAGCTGAGTGTTGAATTGGAGATGGAAGGTTTGCAACCATAGGTATGAGGATCTCTAAGGCGTGGTAAGATATGCTAATCTTATATATTTAAAGCATTTGTTGCATCACAGACGATCTACACACAAATTTGTTTTTTCTTCGCAATTGGAATTTATAGATTGCCACAATTTATGGGTTTTTCATTTTACAGTTTCATGTCCCTTTTCATTGTTTATGTGGCTCTCTAAACACAAGCCAATCAAGTATGGTGGTTCAGAGTTTTAAAAATGAATTTATGTTAACGGAGTCATGTCTTTCTCTTTTTAAAAATGGTAAAATCCATTTCTCTTTTAATAGATATATGCCATCCTATTGTATGGTGATAACAAAGCGGGGTGTTGGTCATTACCCTTGGGGCGATTGAAGATCTGATAGTATTCAATGATGTCAAAAGTTGGATTATGGGTTCGATATTTTTAATCAATGTTCTTTTTGAAATGCAGCATCAAGCAGACATGTGAATTAAATTCTCCCAATGTTTACTCTTTGCGTTTAAATTTATGAAATATAAATTTGCGTTCTTTTTGTAAGTGGATTGGCTGAAATTTCTTGGGAAAACATCCCAAATTAATTTTGGTGGTGAATGGGTCTGACAGGATGTTTGGCTGACTTGTGCTCCTTTTATTTTATTTTATTTTGGTAAATAACTTGTGCTCCTTTTTGCCATGAGCAATGTATGCTTTAAATTCGTAAGGTCTGATGCTGTACAAGAGGAGGTCTTATTGATCTTCATAGCAAAGGAAAGAGGGCAAAAAAGAACAATGAAGATATGAGAATGAAAGAGATTATGTGATAATAAATTGAAGAAAAATGGTGATTGACTTGAGGAAAGAATGGGAGAAGAATAATACCTGACTAGTGTGGAGACAATAGTAGAAAAGACTGAGTAGGAAAAAGAAGGTTTTATAGGAGAGTGCCTAGGGTTGGTTTATAAGAATATAATAATTTTTTACTCTAAATAATACAATAGTAACAGTAAATAGGTTTTTTTAATGACCAATGATCATAGTGAACAACTTGCATCGAAGTTTATTAAAGGTGGTGTGTACCTAATCTTTGCTTTTAATGTTCATGTTGGTGGTCTTGGTCTGCATGACAGACACCATATATGTTTCGTTGCTTCAACCAAGGTTGTGAAGAGAATAGATGAGTTTTCCCATTATTCATTTAACTTGAAAAATGTTTTTGATAGTTGTGGTGGAATATTTGAAGAATTTTTTTTTTAATGACAAGATTTTGTCATGATTTTTGATTTGTGAATGGTTGAAGCCTTGAAGGTGAATATGATTTTTGAAAAAGTTTTGGGTGATGCAGATATTTATGGACTTTTGAAACATTGGAGTTTTGTTAGTCCAATAATTATTGGAATATATAGGAAGGAATTGGAGATTATAATACATGAAGTGGTCACGTCAAAAGGATGGTATTGTGGTTTTGATCTTGTAAGCTTAATGTGTTATCCCATTTTAATTTACATACTGATGCTTTCATCTTTTTGCGGTGATGAAAATTAAATTTTGTCAGTCAGCTAAAAGAGTTGAGTATTAAGCTTTATGATGAGTGTGCTGCCGTTACTCTTGCCAAGATAAAAGCCAGGGGGTGAAAGCTAGGGATTTTCTAATTACACAATATGCTGTTGGCATGGTTTATAAGAATCATGGTATGACAATTTTTCCTTCATTTGTTAATAAGTCACAAGTTCATGCTCGTAATTTCTATTAATAGCAAGATTCAATATTTATTAGACAGAGCGAGATATTCTATCATACTTATAGTTGTTATATGCAACTGGATCTGTGCTTAGCTCATTTTGGAGTGCCACAAGGGTGTTATTTGATGATGATCTTAAGTCGCTGCTGTACTTGCGCACCATGACTGTTGCCGCGTGTATATACCTCTATAATATTTTTCTTATTTTGTTTTTCTGTGGCGTTTGGATCCCCCTCTTTTCAAATCATTGAGTAATGTTCTAAAAAGTTCATGACAATGTAACTAGTGGCATATGCTTTAAAAGAGTTGCTCTAATCTCATTTTGATATAATGTCCTCACATTGAGTGATGTTTAATGGACGATAGCAGTCATTGATTGACATTCTTGTGGCCCGTGCTAGGGCTGCACATGGGCAGGGCTGGGCAGGGCAAGCCCCTTGCTCGATGCCCAGCCCGAAAGATGAGCGGGCTGCGTTTTGCAGCCCGTTGCCTGGCCCTGCCCAGTAGAAGCCCTAACCATTTTGGGCAGGGCAAAGGCGGGCTGGGCAGGGCGGGCTTTTCTGCCCAGCGTAATGACACAATGCCCTATGTCATATGTAAAAAAAAAAAATCAATTATCATGTTTTGAGACAAATGAGAGGAAAAAAATTATCACGAATGAGTCTATCACTCATATATATATATATATAAGGCCTATGTAGTCTTGTTCTTTAGCTTTTGATTTCTTATGGGAGGTAAAAAAAATATATTTAATAATTAGAATATTTAATAATTAAGCTAAATCAGTATTTCAATTTCTTAGTTTATCCATATAGTTGGTGGATTCTTATAATCATGTGAAAGCACAAAATTTGAAAGGTGGTTTTATTTTTTTTTGTTTTAAAAAATTGGATGTAAGAGAAAAAGAAGAACATTTGACTTGGAGTAATTTAGCATATTGAATCTTATATTTTGATATTTAGCTCTTTTATATAATTATAATTTTTATGTTCCTTTCATTTTTTCTAATTTTACCTATTTTTTTTAGCTAAAATAAAAGAGATAATTGCTTGAAATAATATTATCTTATATATATAATTATATATTTTTTCGGACAGGGCCAAATGGGCAGGGCAGCATACCCTGCCCGCGGCCCTGCCCTGCCCGTGAATCAGCTCGGCCCGAAGATGCCCATTTTTGCTTGGGCAGCTTTTTACTGGGTTGGGCTGGGCATTTTTCTTGCGGGCTCGGGCGGGCTTATTGGGCATGCGGGCCTCATGCACACCCCTAGCCCGTGCATTGCACGGGGGATTTTGCTAGTTATAGCTGTAACAAAACAGAGGTGGACTTTTTATAGTGCCCGGGAATTGGATGCATGATTGAAACGACGCCGTTTCGGTTTTATTTCTTTGTTTTTCTTTGGGGTAAAATTTATTGTTTTCTTTTTTATACATAAAATCTGTTGCTTTCTATTTGGTCTGATTTTGGTAATGCCGCAAATGTTAGAAGCTTATGCCCTTTATGCCAGTATAACTCTTTAAAAGTTTAATTTATAGAATTTTATTAGATGTGATTCTTTAAATCTTACTTAAACATGAGGTTGTGTGTTTAATTCTCTGTAGATGTGATAAGTACATGAGTTCTATTCCTTGAAAGAATTTCATTAGACATACTTTAAATCTTATTTAAACATGATGTTGTGCATTTAACCTTTCATAAATCTTACTTTTATTTTAATTTAATGGGGATCACAACTTTTCCTAACTTCCATAGTGTATGGTTTCACATTTAATTGAAACTTGTAACTCATCTCATTTGGACAGCAAAATGTAAAGAATATGTCATTAGGAGTTTTCAATGATGTTTGAAGAAAAAGTCCCCTTTGTGATATGAAATGAATAATTAGAATGGAAAAAGACTGATTTGCAGCTAGGAGCATTAATTTTCTCACTAACCGCCTTAAGAACTTTAGACACATTTAAATCTCCTAATATGATCCTTTGGCCCCGAGCAAGGAGCAATCAAAGAAACAATATATTGCAGATCTGCATCTGAAAATTGGTTCCTTCACGAGAAGAATGAGGAAGCATTAAAAATTTTGTTTTGTTTTGATTATTATTTTCTTCTTCTTCTTCCTAAAGACTCAAAAAGTAGCTTCGTCAAGCTGTCCTTGACGCAAAAAAGTTTCAGGCATAGCCCGTGCTCATATCAAAAATCTGATCCTTGCCTGCCAATACCTTCCTCAGTCACCACCATTTTCGTGACCCTTTGAAAGATATGGTGAATCTTCATATCAGAATTTCCATTAAAAAAATAACATCAAAGGAGCCTTATTATACAGTGATTTGTGACAGTTTCATTCAGGAATTTGATCTCAAGCTTTTTAACTATTGCAGCAAAACAGTCCCATGACCGGCTGGCCCGTGCAATTCAGTGCAGGATGTGTGAAACTCCAGAACATCTAAATGTAACAGTGACAGTTCATTCCTCTCAAGCAGCCAAGTTGCTGCAAAATCTAGAAATCACATCAGATTACTG